TTCCCAGGTCTGTCTCTCCCCTTCTGTGGCTCCTGGCCAGGGACACCTAGAGAAGTCTGGACTGGACCAGCCAATCCCTTGCAGGCCCGGCTTCCTCTCCTTGCCTGGATAGGTGGCCATCATGTGGGGGTGGAGCCAACCTGGAGCAGAGGGGAACCAATTCAAGACTGCACAGTCAGGGTCATAAAGCATGGGTGCCAGGTCCTCGGGACGTCACACCTCTTGTGTAAGGACTTTGGAGGAAGCAGTGGACGGTTCCGTTAAGATAAAGTCCCACAAAGATGGTGTGAGGAAACAGGTTGGTCACCACTGTGGGACATGTTATAGACTAAGACTCTGCTCTTGATAACAGTGTGAGGAAAGTGCTGTGGAACCTCTCCCTAAATCATGCCTCCTGTGCCTTGGTTAGTCTACATAAACTGTCGACTTTATTCAGGTGTCCAGGATCCTCACATAGCCTGGTGTTTCCCTCCACACCATAAGCAGTCTGGACCAAAATCCTGAGTGTCAACAGAAGAACAAACTGAAGCTCAGGAAGGGCAAGCATCTAACCCAAGTTGCACAGCTCAAAACAATCTCAGGCTTGTCAGAGCCTAAAGCCCAGAGCTTTTCCCTCTACAATCTAGACTCACCGTTGAGAACAGTGCCCTGCTACTGAGAACAGTGCCCTATCAACAGTGCGTTATCAACACAGAGGTGTTGATAGTGCTAAGATCTCAAGGCATGAGGCAGTGCCACACCAGAAGCACCCTGAAAAAATTTAATGGCCCTCTGGTTTTCCTCCCATACCCAGTATACTCTGCCCAGCAGACTTCCTGTTCCCTTCCTGGTCTCCTGAGATTGCCATGTAGGGCTTGAAGAATTGGCTCCAAACACAGCTGCTGAGAAAGAAGGAACGTGGGAGATAACTCCCTCTACATCCCCAGTACCTCCTCCAGCACAGTCAGCCAGGATGCCAGGTGACTAGAGCCCTCAATAGAGTCACCGTGTCCTGTGCCTGTCATCCAAACACTTGAGAGGCTGAGAAAAGAATGTAGTTCAAGGCCCACTTGGGCTACAGTGAAAGCCTCCACCATCATTCCAACTCTCTTGTGGCCTCCTTGGGTACCCACACTCACATGCACATACTCACACAAAGACACAAACACACATACACACAATTTAAAATCAAATCATGGTGGTTCATATCTTAGTCACTGGTCTATTGCTGTGAAGAGACACCGTGGCCAAGACAACTCTTAGAAAAGAAAGCATTTGACTGGGGTGGCTTACAGTTTCAGAGGTTCAGTCCATTGTCATCATGGGAAGCATGGCAGCACACATGGCAGTGGGGCAGTAGCTGAGATCTTTATATCCTGGTCCACAGACAGGAAAGCAGAGAAAGATTGGACCTAGCATGAGTTTTTGAAACCTCAAAGTCTCAGTGACACACTTCCTCCAACAACGACAAACTCCCTATGATGACAATACTTTCAAACAGTTCTACTCCCTGATGACTAGGCACTCAAATGTATAAGCTTCTAGGGGTCTGTGATGGCTATTCCCAGTTGTCAGCTTGACTATATCTGGAATAAACTACAATCCAGAAATGGAGGGCACATCTATGACCCAAATCTTGAGACATAGTGGCCATGAAAAGCTTAGGCCTGGGCAAGGTGGCACATGCCTTTAACCCCAGGAGACAAAGGAAAGCAGATCTCTGAGTTCAAGGCCAGTCTGGGACAGAGCAAGTTCCAAGTAAAGAATGGCTTAGGTCCAGGTGTGGGATACACACCTTTAATCTGGGCCACACCTTCTGCTGGAGGCCTACATAAGGACAATGAAAAAAGAACAGTAAGAGTTCCTTTTTCTTTGCCTGCCTGCACTTACTCACCAGCACACCTGTTGGAACCTACTTCTTCAGGATTCCAGCTTACACGGAAGACCAGCTAAAACAGCCTCATGGGACTGAGCAACTACTAGACTCTTGGACTTCCCATTCACAGTTGCCCACTGTTGGAGTTGTTGTGTTGTGTTAGGAAATGTTCATGAACCCCCAAAAGACCACCAAGGAGCCCAATCCAGTGCAATTGCATTAGGCTCTCTTTATTCAAGCTGGAGCTTGGGCCACGCCACTGTCTCTGATGCAGGAGAACAGGAGGGGGCCTCCAGCCCAGTTTCAGGCAAGCATCTATGGAGAGAAGAAGGGAGTATCTAGCCTGGTACACATCTGATTGGGGGATCATTATGGCCTTTAATATAACTGGCTGATGCTGGGAGCCAAATCATAAACTTAACTTTTGTTTTCCTCCTGATTGGTTGCTGTTAGGAAGTGAAATGAACCTCCAGTTGTAATCTGGAGGTATAGATTTGTTGAGGGTAACCTGGAAATTGGTGCCAGGTACAGTCCTGTTGGTTAACTTGTTGGTTAAGTCTAAACCCAAGCGATCTGGTCTCTCGTTCTCTCCTTTCTCTAGTAACTAGAAGGTCCAATCATGGGTCTTCCTGAAGTTATTTTTATATTTTAGAGGGGGTCAGGGTTGTCATCAGTCAGCCCTCGTGGTGTCCCTGGGGCTTGGATAGGGGCTCCATCAGTGGGAGACAGGATGGAGTCCTTAGGCTGAATTTTCCTCCTGCTGGTCAGGGTCGTCTTCAACTGTAAATGGGCCTGTGATTTCACCACTGCAATCTAGCAACCTTTAGGGTAACGAGGTGAGGGGCGGTAGGGATCATGTTTTATAGAGAACATGGAGTTTAGGCCAAACATATTTATGAGCCCATTGAACATTCTCATGTGTGGTCCTCAAATTCAGTGATGACCTCTGCCTGTGTGTTAAGAATAATGGAGGTGTGGGGGTAGTATCCCAAACATGATTTTAGAAGTAGTGAATCCCATCTAGGAAGGGGAGTTTTATTCCAGGTAGAGAGCCAAAGGAAGAAGAGTTATTCAGTCATTGTCTAGTCTCTTAGGTCAATTTAGTTAAGGAGACTTTTAGGGTTCTGTTCATTCTCTCTACCTGTCCTGAACTCTGAGGAACAATTAATCCCCAGAATATTGGCTAGTCCCTGATTTACTAGGGACACAAAAGCTGGTCCATTGTCTGGCTCTATCATCTGAGGAAGCCCATACCTTGGCAGTATGTCCTCTAAGAGCTTCTTTGTCACTATGGTTGTAGTTTTATTCTTGGTGGTAAAAGCCTCAGTCCAACCTGGAAAGGTATCTATAAGCATCAGTAAATACTTATATCTAAATCTTCTGGTTTTACCTCTGTGAAGTCTGTCTCTCAGTAGACTCTGAGCTCTGTGTCTCTGAACATATTAACGGGATTCATTTTAGCTGGTAGGCTTTATAGCTCTTGACTGTGCCCTTTCCCAGCCTTGAGCAGGCCAGAAAAACCTTGTGACCTAGGTGGGGTCATCCACCCTCACTGCACATGCAAATTCCTACATGAACTTAGAAGAATAGACTGCCCACTGACCTTGACATAATCCAGGACATGATCCGGCTGAAACAAAGGATGGGTTAGGTGGGGCTTTCCCTATATATACACGGGCTGAATATTAAACTTTGAGCCTTGATCAGAGAACTTTGTCTTGGCTCCATGTTTCCCTCGCCCCTCCGTCTCTTTTTCATTTCCAGACCTCCTTTCAGGTGAACCCAGATCGTCGTGGCTGCTGGACAACTTGACAATCTTAGCTACCTTTGAGCTGCCATCTCTAATCTTGATGTTTGCATGTTGTATCTATTCCTGTATTCTCCGATGCCCGCGTGGGAAGAGCGGTGGATCTTCTGAAGTATGCCCACTCTCATTTCTTCTGGCACTGAGTTCACAATCTGCTGTTCTCTATCATCTATCATAACATTGGGACATGGCAAGAATTTAGTCTAGGTTATGTCATCTTTTGAATACTTAGCATGGCCAGGGGGCATAGGATCCCATGGATGTAGGAGAGTCAAGGGCAGGAGAGATGGTTGCCCTCTGAAACTGAGTCCTTCCCACTCTGATGTCCTGAGCAGTGGATGACAGCCAGCTTTTTAGGCCCCCTGGAGCTCTTAGTAGGGAGAGGATTTTCTCTTTATTTTTGATAGTCTTTCCTTCTGCCATCAGAAGGCCTCTCTATATAAATAGGCCCATGCACATGAGCAGTAGTAAAGACGTTTTATCTTTCTCAGCTCTAGTGTTGGTGAATAACCTGGAAACTGGTGTTAGATGCTGGTCTTGTTGAGGGGAGGTAACCTGGAAACTGGTGCTAGGTATGGGCCTGTTAGTTAACTTGAGTACAACTTTAGGTCAAGTTCTCTAAGACAGAGTCTAAACCCAAAAAAATTGGTCTCTCAGTTGGACTGCAGACTGTAAGTCATCCTAATAAATACCCTTAATATACAGAGAGACATTCCATCAGTTCCGTGACTCTAGAGAACCCTAAATACAGGGTCATTCCCATTCAAGCCACCGCAGCCCAGAACTTTAATCCCAACATTGGAGGCAGAGGCAGGCAGATCTTTGTGAGTTCAAAACTAGCCTGATCTACATAGTGAATGAGTTTCAGGTCAGCCAAGGCTACATAGTGAGACTCTGTCTCAAACATAATAAATAAGTAAGTAAGTAAATAAATAAATAAAAATTTTAAAAGCAACAACAACTAAGAAAGAACAACCAAATAAGTTAATAAGTCTGGCTGGGGAGATAAATCAGTCAGTAAAATAGTTGCCTGGCAATTGTAAGAATTGAGTTTGGATCCCCAGAACCAACATAAAAAGCCATGGGTGGCAGCAGACATGTATAACCCCTGTCATGGCCAGCTGGGAGATGAAGATGGACAGATCTTGAGAAGCTCATAGGCCAACTA